CATTATGCACCACTCGTGAATGATTTGTTTAAAAATTCCTATCTGGCTGAGGTCGATAATTCTCAATAAATGTCAAAATGACATTTATATTTTATCATTTATGATTTATTATAATTTACTGGAAGTGGCATTTGAATCACACTCCTCCCACGGGCTGTGAATCCAAATTTGATATGCATCACATAATTCACGATAAAAAACGATCATTGCAAAATTCTCATACCGTAAAGAAACTAAACAATGCATGCATAATTCCCCAATAATCGTTTGTTATATACTAGTATTCTCACACACGGTACAGTTACCGATAAATCTGAACATATTCCATCACGGCGGAAATTATACAATTATCAGTGTTGAAGTAATGCCGTTACTTCACTCATTCATATATTTCACTGTGAGAGAGCTTCACATTCTATTGTTTACAAAACATTTTTATTCGGGTTTTAGTGAATGATGTCATCAAATCACAACACCATGTATATGTACGTATCCTTGTTTGTGTGATTGTCGTCATAGTAGCATATTTTGTGGTCATTTCGTATTACCAGTATATCCATGACGTGGCTACTGTTTTATTTTATCTTGATTTCGATTTAAGATAAAATTTGTTGTACTTTATTTATTATGAACATACACTGCACGAGTGGAAGACAAAACACTATTTTTTTTTTACTGATGGCCGTCTTCTGGGTTGTTTTTGTCCATGCAGCAGGTGGGACACTATGACCTACTCACTGGTATTTCTGAATAAACCTTTTGCCAAACAATATATAATTATTCCAACAACTTCCTGTTGATAATATCGCTCTCTTGGTATAGTGCAGACGGCTTTGAAAAAACAGACTCCGCTTAAAGTCTCCATTTAATACCGGCGTAACATTTAGAATTGCGTCATTTTTTCTCGAATCCAATCATGTCGGGTATCAGTATTGTGATAGATTTGCATAAATTATAACAGTCAAATCACAACGTTACACATATACTGATACTTGATATTACTTTATTTATTTTCAGAAGTCATACAATTACAGAAAATAGATTTTGTAATAAATATTCAGAAAGCAGACTTTTAAAAACAAATATTGGCAGCTCGATCGATAGTAAGCCATGCGGAAAACAGTTATGTTTATGTAAGACTGTTCACCTCGTGTGGCGCACCGTATGGTGTATGCGCAGATGTCGCAAATTAACTTAAAATCTATGGGGGTTATCCACAGATGTAACAGGCGGATCCGCCAGCTGCGGATAGTGGCCATACGGGAGGTTTCAACTCACGATGCTGATAGGGGATAACATTCATTCTTAGGATGGTTGATATGCCAGCTGGCCAGTAAAATTACGTTGTCAAATTTGAACGAGTTTAGATTTTGCAGTCACAATACAACATGTAAAACATGTAATTAGATCCAATAAAATCAGACGTATCGGGTAAACGGCTCTTCGTCAGTCTAATATCTCCAGTTGAGAGATCATAGAAAATAGAATAGAACATGCGTAACCATGACCTACTACTATGATTTTTATCCAATTATATGTATCGGTTCTAGAAGCTTTATCATTGAAAAAAAGTATTAGTCATTAATTTTTTTCATCCACTAGCTCTAGTATGGAGCATAAGAAAGTTATAGAAAGAACAGCAGCTTTCAAAGTAGAAACCTACATACTAGAAATTTAGAATTTGTCATGTCACATCTCATTCCGGTGAACTATTGTAAACTAATTCAGATATTAATTATTGCCATGCCATTTGCAGAATTATGAAAAGGGTAGACTCCTTAAAACAATCCAACAATTGTACACCAAACATAAAACAACGTGATTTACACTTGATTCAAATATCAAAAACTTCTAGTCGCAAGTTTCTAGACAGTTTATGGCCTTGTATCAAAGCTTTTGCTATTGTTACCTTTTGTTGGTAAACGTATTTTGTCACGCATGTTGTCACAATAACACAATGGTAAGATAAACATCATAACACGACAATGAACGTCTTTTCATGAAATGACATCACCGTCTGTAAAAAGAGTGGGTTATCCAGGGTACGATCTGAAATCGCCTAAATGGAACGGCTTTCACGGTTACGGCGTGTAGATACGTGACCGCGTGCTAATATATAACCTCCACTGCGTCTATTGTAAGTGACACTTGCACATTGTGCAACGTAATTTAATTGTGTAAATTCATTAACAGTTGTGAGAGTCGTGACTCGACTTTTTAGCTCCACTGTCGACCGGAGCTTATCATACGAGTGATTGTCCACGTCAACTTTTATTTGAAAACTACAATTCCTATTGCTTTGATAACCTTATAATAACCTTGGCTAGACCTCACTTAGTCATTTCATGATGATATATAATTCTTTCTAGAAGTTAGATGAATATTTTGATAAAAATTGATATTTTCGACTTCAAAACCCGCAACTCCGATTGCTTTGATATTATTCATATAGATACGTCAGGTGGACCTCTCCCAGATTTTGTGATATCTTCAATTCTATAATTTTGATGAATATTTTTGTTTTTTGTTGAAAACTACAAGTTAAATTGCTTTGATATTATACATATAGGTACCTCAGGTGGACTGGTTTATAGATTAGTTCATTTTGTGATGATATCTTCAATTCTCTAATTAAAATGTTGCATTACTAACAGCAGAGCTATCTCAGACAAGAGGTTATTTGTTTTTCATACAAATTCATTATGTGATCGTGATCAAATAGAGCGTGTATTATTTGTCATTATTCACAATTAATTCTGCACTATTTCAGTATTAATGTTTGCTTAGCCATCTGCCAAGTTCCAGAAAGTGGTCACTATAGGAAGATGGACTTTACATAAAGGTGGTCATTAACACAGGTTTGACTATAATTGACATATTCATAATTTTCAATAGAAGCCGTGTATATAACTTATCTATTTTGTAATTCTTGAAAATATATAGTTACCGAAAGTGCCACAATGCTGGAATATATACTTTATTTATTTTTTATTTATTTCACCAGAATGACCATTATAACAGAATATATAAACAAATAACAATAGTAGTAATTCTGGTGTGGACCATGGAAATAGTCCTTATGGACTAGTCCAGTCCATGGCCCAGACTGTCAAGTAGAAATTTACAATTTACTAGTAAAGGAAAGGAAAATTACTATTTATATAACGAAAATTAAAAGGTAATCTATATGGTTTAGATATAAAAATGACTAAAATATTATGTGTAATAATAATATAAACGAACTACTGGTACAACGAATTTATATGCAGAAGAAAAGCGAAGAAAGAAGAAGAAAAAAAATGCAGAGAAATGGGAGGTAATCGAGGAATTTAACAAAGCAAATAATGTTTCATTTCATATTTAAATTTGTTTCTGTTGTTTATGTTTTTGGGGAGTCTGGAAGTGAATTCCAGTGTTTTACTGCAGCAAATTTAAAATTATGTTGTGAAACTGTAAGTTGAGCAACAGGAATTGACAAGTTTCCACTAGACACTGAACTTGTGGGATAGCAATGTGGATAATCATTAACATACTTATTGAGGCTATGTGCATATCTCTTGTGTTTAAGGTCGAAGATAAATAGGCAGGTTTGTAATTTATAAAGTTTGTGAATATCAAGTATGCGTAATTAGATAAAGAGGAGCAGAATGTGCTTTAAAGTGCGAGAAGGTGATAAGGCGCACAACTTTTTTTGTAAGAGCAGAACTGGTTCAAGAAGTGTTGGGTATGTGTTGGGTATGTGTTTCCCCACATTAAGTGTGGGAGAATAAGAATAAGGATGAGAATTGATCTGCGAACATAGTGACAAATGCGAGATATAATGCCCACTTTGGGACTAATGGTTTTCACAATTTTTTCAATATGAGAATTCCAATTTAGGCATGGGTCAATGGTTACTCCCAGATAAGTGGCTTTAGACAGGCCCTCTATCAACATATCATTGATTGCGAGCTGTCCCTCCACTTTTACTTTTTTTGTGGGGTTTTCAGGATCATACAGTTTGTTTTTTCGACATTAATTGTTAATTTATTAGCATTGCACCACTGTACAACATTTTCAAAATCATTGTTAATATTAGAAAGACCAATAGAGTTAGTTTGCAGGAATTTAAATAAATTTGTATCATCCGCAAAGAGGCGGAAATTGAAAGCATCAGTAGAGTGGTTAATATCATTTATGTAGAGAAGAAAAAATAAACAGGGTTATTTATTAATAATGTGCATTGTACAATGCTGGAAATTTATGGAAACCATCACTGTTAGCTAGCAGGTTATTTTCGCTAATTTAAGATGTGGCTAATTCAGAATAAAGTATATAAAGTAGATTGTTGGCACTTTGGCTAAATTAAGATTTTGTTAATTCATGCACTGAGTCAAATTCACTAAAATGATATGTAGCTATTTCAACATTTCAAGAAAATTGATGTACAATACCGGATGAAAAGTGATGTACAATACCGGATGAAAATTGATGTACAATACCGGATGAAAATTGATGTACAATACCGGATGAAAAGTGCCAGTTTTATTTCTTGCTAAAAAGGTTGGCTTAAATGCTTCCAGTCTGACTGTGAAAGACATCTAGCAGACAATTGTAACTCTAATCAGGTGCATTTAGATTTGATTTTGGAATTGATATTTTATCAAGACTGTTAAAAAAAACAACTAACAAGTAACCACCTACAAAAATTTGATGATTGTCTTGCTTGCTTGTACATATTTGTATATTTGTCACTGGAGGTGCATCTCAGAGATCACCTATAATGAAATCACAAAAGCACTTATTTGATGGCCTCATGATGTTAAAAACACAAATTGAAACTTTTATTTCCAAAGACACAAACAAGTTTCAAAAGTTTGTTTGACGACATAGTGAAAACAAAAATGCTGAATAATGATGTACAAGGTACATATTGAGGCCAGCGTATTTTTAAATTGAAATTATTATTTTTAGTAAGTCTCTAATGACTAAATATGTGTTTTATTGTAGTCTATGGAAACAGTTGTTAAAATGTCATTTATTGCATATAATTGGTAAACAGCTTGACAGTGAAAAAACACTCCACTTCCAGTTGACCAATACTAAAATTATTGATTATAAAGGCTTAATAATGTCATGGTCAAAACACAAGTTATACTTTGTAGTTTTAAGTAAATAAACGAGATAACAGTTTTTATTTTGTTTGTGTAATTTTTACTATTACTGTGGCTGCAAAACAGAATAGAATAAACATGTTTCTTGGGGGGGGGGTCTTCAAATAATATTATAACTTGGGTTTTATGTTCGTTTTCAGCAAAGATTACAAAAGGAAAGATAACTCTTAAGATCTGTTTAGTTTAGCAATTTATAGCACAACAAGTTCATTGATCGAAATGACACCTTTTTAAGCACCTTTTTTTCTTTCAAGGTTACTAATCCAACTCCACTTGTATGCTTTCGGCATTTCTCTAATACCAATTTGAAACTGAAAAAAACTTACATGACATCTATTCTGGATGGTCAGTCACTTAAAGTGGGGTGGGGGGGAGTAGTCACCTGCGCATGCGTCAGATGGCTAGTGTGTCATTGTTTACAAACAAGCGTCAACCCATGAACCTTTGCGTTTTCAGCGCGTGTTATTGTCACTTGGGACTCAATTACCGCACATGCACAGGTGACGACCCTCTCGCTTTAACTCTCATATGCACAAAATCTTTGTGTTGATTATTACATAAAAACAGAATTAGAGATTTTGATAGATATTCCAGCAAATGGTGAAAACAATTTTGTAACGTAAATTAACTGAAAACAGTTTCAAAAAGGTAAGCATGTGTACAAGGTGGATATATTGGTTGGCTCTATTGATATACCAAGGACTATTACCTACTACCAGTCTATCTTAAGGATGGTTAACAATCAAATAAATATGTTCAGTTAAATCATATCATGTAAATTGCAAAATCTGATGTCAATCAGATTTTTTGAATATTAGACATGTTTAATTTCATAAAATCAGACCAAGTAAACACCTATTTTGCCACCAGATTAATCAGAAGCAGATTTGTCCTATAAATCAGATCAGATGAATCAAATATTGTAAACTGGCTTTTGCAGCTGGACAATAATACGAAATATTGGCATTATATCATAATTGTGACATGGCTAAAAGAATCACAGTACTGTCAGCACTTTATGTCTAAAAGTAAAAGTAATACTATAAGGTGGTTTCTAAAAGAAGCATGTGAAATGTTCTTCTCGATTTCCTTTGTAGGAAGATAATCTTTCCACAGTTGCCTCCTTCAAGTCTCAAACAATATTTTTACTTTTTATGTGTAGCCTGTCTGTTTTTTCTTTCTATAGTATGTTTAAGTGCTACATTGTCTTCTAGATCATTCTTCACAATGGGTTTCGTATTGCCGCAGCCAACGAATGGACACCTGCAAAGAGAACACAAAGACAACTATCATTACATAACCACATGTTACAACATGCATATGTAAGTGGTGATTAAAATGGCTCTGTTGTCATTGCAATCAACGACCTCTCAATACAATCATGGGTAGGTTGACAGACCCCTTAAGTAATTTTTAACATACAGTTGCACCATATCACCATAACACCATATCAACCAATCAGAAATTGTGTTACAGAGAGATCTCTAGTTAGGCATGCATCAATTGATAGATAAATTCAGTCAGAAGAACCTGATTTCTATCATAAGGAGTCAAATGTAGATATAGGATATATACACATTGTGGTATTTTAAAACTGGCTGGAGCCTCTGCATACATTTGGGATATATTGAAAGTGACTTGTATTCTTATCAAATAAGAGATTGTGATGAAAGGGCAAAAACATATTTGATCAAAATTCACAAGATCAGCTACAGAGAATGTATCAAAGAAATTCTACTACCATGGTTATGGTTGCTATAGAACAAATAATCCTTTGTAAATTAACATTGCACAAAACTATTATTTTCTATGTGCTTGCTATAAATATCAACCTGGTTGCTAAGGAACTGCTCACAAAGATAATGGATGCATGTTTCTAATCACCCTCATGACCAGCATCAATGTCAGATCATAGAATTACAAATGGGCTAGTTATAAATGGGTTTACCCTAACCAAAAACCCACTCAAGACTCGAACAAATTATGAAACATTGCATGACTGGCATGAATGTTACAGCGCCCCCTAGAGTACAAAGACAGACATACTTTCTTCTTCCTCTGCCACCAGCTATGTGTTGTACTATGGCACTTCGCTCATAACTGTGCTTGCATATTTTATTTCTAACAGGATCAACCATTTCTTGTTGTGTGATTGGACATTTTGTAGCAATTTCAGCTTGAGACATCAACAAGTCTTCATCTTCGTCTTCAGCAGCAGCACCACTTGTCATTTGTGTGGGCATGGTTTCGCCTGTACCAACGATTGACAACATTACAAGTATGAGATACTGTGAAATTTTTGCTATTTTCGCTTAAGGGATGATTTAACGAAAATAAAATCCATTGAATATATCTTTTTTTCCTATATTTTACATTCAACTTATCAAAAATCAGTGAAAATAAATTCTACACAAAACACACAAAAAGTAATTTCAGCGAAAATTAATTCCAGCTAAAATAAAGTATGTGAAGAAATTGATGAAGAGTTATGAAAAGATTTCTTATTGATGTCATGGATTATAGAAAAGATTATGTGGATT